CCTCCTCCTCCTCCTCCCCCTCCTCCCCCTCCTCCCCCCTGTGCCGCAATTGCCTTGGCTTGTGCCGCAGCGTAGCCCGAAACGCCGCCGACCAAAAATGTCCCGGCCGGCCGCGCCGTCGACAGCTGGATCCGCAAATGTCGCTTCAGGCGCCGGAGCCGTGGTGCAAACCGTGCTTCCATGTGAACTCCGTCTGAAACAGTTTGTGCCCCAGTTCCTGGCGGGCTATCCCAAAGGTGCGCTCAGCAAGTGCGTGAACGTTTGGTGCGCTCGTCGGTGTCACAAATGCGAGTGTGTCTTACGAGTTGGCGTAAACGGTTGCCGACGAACCCTCGGCGCATCGGCCCTTCGCGCCCCTCGAATTTTGAGCCAGGTGAACGCACCACTCCGCCCCTCCATAGTCAAAGAAATACTTCAAAATGACAAACAATCGAATCTTCTGGCGATGCTGGGTGTGGCCAGGGCGGGGGGGAAGAGGAGAGAGACTGCCCAAAAATGACAAATTTCCACACGGCGCCGGCGCGAATCGCGACGTGACCAAGGTGGGGGGGAAGGGGCGGGGAAGGGGTGGGGGGTGGACTGGGCCGGTCATGGGCGTTATCGCGAAGCATAAATAAACGCGTTCGTGGCGCCAGTGCCCCAACGTGCTTCCGCTCATTTCGTTTTTCCTTCACGACCAGCGCGCATGCCTCCCTTGCAGGGACGCAGGCTATCTGGCGACGGCAGCTTCGTTCGCTCGTTTTCCTCTGCCCGCTGTGCCCGCCCCCAGGAATCCTCCTGCTTCTCATCAGCATACTCTTGTGTGTGTCTCCCCCCCTTCATTTTCCTCTCCTTCTCCTGCTCCTCCTCCCTCTCCTCCCCCCCTCCTCCTCCTCCTCCTCCTCCTCCTCCTCCTCCTCCTCCTCCTCGTCCTCCTCCTCCCGGTCGGGGGCGCGAGGAGATAAGGGCGGCGGCCGCCGTGGCGGCGGGACGGAGATGCTCATCATCTGCGGCCCCGAGCGCGGCCGCCGTGGGGCGGAGCTGAAGGTGGCCGCCCGCGAGTGGGAGGGCGGTGTTGGGACGAGGGGAAGGTATTGGGAGGAGTGGTGTGAGGAGGTGTTGGGATGAGGGTGAAGGTGGGAGGGTGGTGTTGGGGTTGGTGGTGGTGTTGGGATGAGGGGAAGGGAGGGTGGTGTTGGGATGAGGGGATGAGGGCGGAGCTGAAGGTGGGAGGGTGGTGTTGGGACGAGGGGAAGGTCGGGGGCGGAAAGAGGGGGGTGATGACTAGGGGGGGGTGGATCTCATGGCGTGGGCCATGATATCTCCCCAGATTTCATGGCGCCTCTTCTTATTTCATTACGTCCCTGGCCCCCCCGCTGGGTCGCGCACATGCCGCCGGCCATGATTTGCACCCCCCCCTCTTGGACACCCCCCTCCTGGCCGCTCCCGAATTGGGACGAGGGGAAGGTGGCGGGAGGAGGGCGGCGGAGGCGATGCTGATGATGCTGACGCTGATGCTGATGCTGATGAGGATGAGAAGGATGGTGATGGCGATGATGAGGATGAGGATGAGGATTCTGATGATGTTGATGCTGATGTTGGTTGTGATGATGATGATGATGATGAAGAGGAGGCGGATGATGAGGTGTTGACGGAGGATGATGAGGATGACGAGGATGATGAGGATGGTGATTGTGATGGTGGTGGTGATGGTGGTGATGATGATGCTGCTTAATAATGATAAAGATGATATTGATGTTGATGATGATGATGAGGATGATGATGGTGATGGTGATGGTGATGGTGATGGTGACAGTGATGATGATGACGGTAATGATTTTGATGAGGATGACGTTGATGATGATGATGATGATGATGATGATGATGATGATGATGATGACGGTGATGAGTATGATGATGATATGCAGATGATTATGATGTTGATGATGATGATTACGATACTGATTATGGTGATGATGATCGCGGTCGTGGTGATGATGCTGGCGATGATGATGATGATGATGATGATGATGATGATGATGATGATGATGATGATGATGATGGTGGTGGTGATGATAATGGTGGTGGTGGTGATATGGCTGTGCTGGTGATCTTGGGGATACTTATGCGGATGTTGATGTTGATGATGATGATTCTGATGGTCTGTGTGAGGGTGATGATAGTCGCCCACGGCTTCCCCAGTATTCCTTCGGAATATTCTGATTAGTATTATGATAAGCATTTCAGTATTATTGACAGAACTATGTATTATTATTAATATCAATATTGCCTTGCTTATCGTTCTGAGAATAGTGATGATGACGATGATGATGCTGATGCTGATGCTGATGCTGCTGCTGATGATCTTGATCCTGATTATGATTACGAATATAACTGTGATTAATATTGGTGTTGTCCATGGTGTTTTTAGTAGTGTCTTCATTAATTATTTGCATTCTTTCTTTACCGTGATCACTAACTGTGACCTTGTTATTATTATTATTATTATTATTATTATTATTATTATTATTATTATTACCACAACCATTCGTATTACCATTCGTATGTTTGTTGTTGTTGGTGTTGTTGTTGTCTTTGTTCTTGTTGTTGTTTCTGTTGTAGTAGTTGTTCTTATTATGATTGCATGTATTATGATTATTCTTCCTGTTATGATTGTTTTTATTTTTATTCAATCAGTTCGCTCATTATGCCGGCCCATACTGCTGTCTGTAGTGTTTCGTGGCCTTCGGCCAGACTGGGTCGTGGACAAGAGGCCTTGTTGGAAAGCTTGTTGGGGTCTCTTGGGAGGCCTCTTGAGGGCCTCGTGGCGCCATTTTTGGGCCTCTCGGGGACCTCTTGGGGCCTCTCGGGGGCCCCTGTGGACCGGGGCAGCTCCTGGGCGGCTCCTGGGGAGCATTTTTGGGGGCCTCTTGGGAACGTTGGGGAGGCCTCTTGTGAGCCCCCTGGGACTACTAGACACTGGAAATCTTAGCACGCCTTTGCCCGTTGGGCCGGCTGCCGTCACAATGGCAGACCTTTTTTGGGTGTTTCTCTACTTGTTTTCGGCCCATCTTCTTGACGCAGTGCCCCGGTGCTGGGTCAGAGTCCTCGTGGATTTTTTTGGGAGTCTCCTCGGACAGTTCTGGGTGGTTCCGGGGGAGCATTTTTGAAGCTCTTGGGGTCGTCGAGGGGGCCTGTTGTGGGCTTGAGATCTTAATACGCTTCTGGCCCGTTGAGCCAGTCCACATGGTACCTCTAGTGCTATATGTTGGTGTGTTTGTGGCGTGCAATGATGATGATGATGATGATGATGATGATGATGATGATGATGATGATGATGATGATGATGATGATGATGATGATGATGATGATGATGATGATGATGATGATGATGATGATGATGATGATGATGATGATGATGATGATGATGATGATGATGATGATGATGATGATGATGATGATGATGATGATGATGATGATGATGATGATGATGATGATGATGATGATGATGATGATGATGATGATGATGATGATGATGATGATGATGATGATGATGATGATGATGATGATGATGATGATGATGATGATGATGATGAGGAGGAGGAGGAGGAGGAGGAGGAGGAGGAGGAGGAAAACGAGGAGCAGGAGCAGGAGCAGGAGCAGGAGCAGGAGAGGGTGGATGAAGCGGGCAAGATGAGGATAAGGAGGCCTCCTCTTGATGGCTTCTTGGGGGTATTTTTTGTAGCCAACCTTGGCTGTGGACAAGACGCCTCTTGCCTCTCGACGGTTTCTTGGGGGTATTCTGGAGCCAATCTTGATCGTGTACAAGGTGCCTCTTTGGTAGGCTTCTTGCGGTTAGTATTTTTGTGATCTCCTGGGGCGTCTTGGAGGCTCTCTTGGAGGCCTCTTGGGGGCCTCTTGGGGCGTCCTGGGGGCCTCTTCGGGTAAATGGCAGCTCGAAATGGCCGCTCGGGTCCCCCGTCCGGGCCCTCCCTTGGAGCCGTCTTGGGGGCCTCTTGGACTGTCTTCGAGGCCTCTTGGGCAATCTTGGGGCTCTCTTGGCTTGTCTTGCGGCTGTTTTGGTGCCCTCTTGGAGATCCTCGGGCCGTCTTTGAGCGGTCTCGGGGGCCCATTCGGGCCGCGTTGGAGCGTCGGGAACCTGAAGAGGCGAAAACGCGAAAATCCTTCAAGAACGAATGGACAATCAATGACATTTGCCCCTCTGGATTCTTTTTGGGGGCCTCTCGAAGGCCTCATGGGGCGGCTTGTAGGCCTCAGAGGAGCAAAACCATCTCTGGAGGAGGAGGAGGAGGAGGAGGAGGAGGAGGAGGAGGAGGAGGAGGTGGAGGAGGAGGGGGAGGAGGGGGAGGACGAGGAGGAGGAGGGGGAGGAAGAGGAGGAGGAGGGAGTCTGGGGGGATCTTGCCGGGGACTTGCCCACGGTACTTCTCGCCCAGGGACCCCCAGGGGCCGCTCCGCGCGCGCGAACTACATAGAAATTCTGCTTACCTGTCACAGGAGATCTTAGCGAATTCTTCCTTCTCCTCCTCCTCCTCTTCCTCCTCCTCTTCCTCCTCCTCTTCCTCCTCCTCTTCCTCCTCCTGATACATTTCCAGTGTGCATGCTGTGAGCGTGTCTAACCGACGGTGTAAGTCAGGATTGTGAGAGACTTTGTTCGGCAACGGTGCCCTCACCTTTTCCTGCCCTGACTCCGATCAAGATCGGATCGGATCGGGTTGGATCAAGATCGGACTGGATCGGATCGGATGAAGATCAGATCGGGTCGGACCAGGTTCGGATCATATCGGACCAACATTGGAGCAAGCTCGGATCCGATCAAGACTGCGTCGCATCGGGTCAGACGACCTCCGTGTTCTGTTCTGCTGCTGCTGCTCGTTGCCCGCTGTTCTCCTCCATGCCATCTGCCTCCTCCGCCGTCCTCCTCCTCCTGGAGATCCGTACACGCAAGATCCGTACACTGTACTCTCCACGTGCATTTTACTGTGAGTTTAATCGTTCACCATGAAGGCCGGTGATGCCCGCAAGGCTACTGAGCATACGGGTGCCAGTCCAGAGGGTAAACGAGCTAAGAAGGATGGGCGGCACGAGGAGACCTTCTGCGACGCCAGAGAGGGAAAGGAGACGGACAAGCATCCAGAAAGTGAAGTCATGAGCGAATATGAGGAGGAAGATGAGGACATCGAGGAGACGGAGGATGACATCAAAGCAATGAAGTCGGTTATGAAGAAGATAGTTAATGGGCACGATGAGGGGCATGAAAAAGGGAATGCAGGAGGTGACGAAAGAAGTAGGAGAAGCAAAGTAATCAGCCCAGGAGGCTAAAGCATCAGCTGACAAGGTATTGCAAACGTCCGAGTCGGTGCAGGCAGAGGTCTGAAGCATGAAGGCCGACATGGTCACCAAAGAAAGTCTCCCTGAACTGGTACACAGCATCATGAAGGAAGATGGGTCTGGACATATCCCCACTGGTCCAGGAAACCAGACGTTTACGCAAGGTGTAAGCTGGAGGTCTTTGGCGAAGAAGGGACAAGGTAAAGGAGAATCGCACTTAGAAAAGAAATCTAGGACGATGTACTTGGGAGATTTCCCCGAAGACATTAAGGACGTAACCATCAAGGGCTTCCTACAGGAATGGACCGATGAAACACAGGATAATGTTGAGGATGCGTATGCCTTTGGAAGGATTGCCACGCGTGGGGCAGTAATATTCAAGTCTTAAGCAGCCATGTGGAATTTCATGGAAAAGCACCGTGGGAAGCTTCAGCCCGAAGTCATGGGCACAAAAGTTTCTGGAAATTCGGATTCGGTGCGTGGCCCGAAGTCCAAAAAGACAATAGCAGTCTGGAAAACTGTGCGAGTGGTCATTGAGAAGAATGGGAACGACGGCGAGAAAATAAAGAAGGATATTGCCACAAGCTGCTCGAAGGGAAGGGTGTTGTGGAATGGTGATCGTGTTGCCCAGTGGTCAGAAGAGGAGTGAAATATGAAATTGTTGGGAGCAGCAGCGGCGCACCAGTAAGCCTTCGACAAGTTGACTGCCCCGGAATAGGGCAAAACAGTGGTGACGCACAGACCTGGTGATGGAGTGGGAGAGGGTGTCGGGGGCGGCAAAGAGGGGGGTGATGACTAGGGGGGGGGTCAGCATCATGGCGGGGGACGCGATATTTCCCCGGATATCATGGTGTCCTTTCTTACTTCAATGCGTTCCCGGCCCTCCCCCTGGGCCGCGCACATGCCGCCGGCCATGATTTGCACCCCCCCCTCTTGGACACCCCCCTATTGGCCGCTCTCGATGATGGAGTGGGAGAGGGTGGAGGCAGGGGGATGCTTGCAGATGTAAATGTGGATGTGCCTTTGTGTATTCCTGGCAGTGCCAATACGAGGAGGAATGTTGGGAATCAGTCTGAGGAGCAAAAAGGTGGTTCATTACATTCACGTGATATGCTGGAGCGCTTGCGGCATGCAGGAAGGAGCTGTCGACGATGTCATGAGCATGCTTGTGGATGATGTTCATTTGGGTGCAGTTTTCATTTATGAAGGTTCATTTGCAGAGGCAGGTACATACCGAGTGACTCCTGATGGTCACGCAATGTTTTGCGGAACGTGTCAAGACTTGAATCGGAGTTCCACGATAGTTTTGCACAGAAGGTGGCAGGGGGAAAACGCGGCATTATCTTTTCACTCTGCAGACAGACGGGCTTCATACTTAGACATTGTGATGGGGTGCTACAAAATCAGACTAAATAGCGCGATTGCCCCGATAATGAGTATGACGAGGCCCAGGTGATTTTTGGGGACATTGTGGAGCGTGGGCGGAGGAGAGGACTCTTTAATGTTGTTGGTTTGAATGCACGCGCAGTCATTGGTCGGGAAGTGAAGTTTGACAGTGCAGACATCGTGGGAGATTCGGGGCTCGGCGGGAGGTGTGCATGATTGTTGAAGCCGCGGGGGGGGGGGGCGGGAGAATGCCTGGGGCAAGGCGGCAGGAATCGCCGACGCTGCGTCGACGTGGAGACGTCGCCTGGAAGACGCCAGACATAACCGGGCCCAGATACGAGAAGACAGTTGCCAAAATCCTCGCGGCGAGCTTCGAGGAGGGAGAGGAGACAGAAACAGGAGGGGCCAGTTGCATATTTGTCGATGACAGGTGCGGGTCTGGCACGTTTGCATAATGGCCGCGGGTTGGGGGGGGCAGCATAATGACGCGTCGCGAACTGCGAAGACGAAAGGTTCAGTCGGTAATGTTTGCTCTGGCGCGGACTCAACGCGCGAAGTTTTTGCGTCGCTCTGGGAAGATCTGCGCCGAGAGGGCGGGGGTCGGGGCCCGGTCGTTCCACCAGTTGCCCAGGGGGGCGCCGTGCCGGAAGGTCACTTACGCATGGCATGGGGGAAGTTGAAATCGGGGAAGGCTGGGGCAGGTGATGGACTGGTGGCAGACATGTTGGAGACTGGCCATCCAGGGCTCGTGAAGACGATCGCTGATTGTCCCGCATGTATTCTACAGGGGAATTTGTTTGCCGCCAGCAGAATGGAGCCGCATGATGTTCCGGGTGCTTTGTAAGCAAGGGGGATTCATCCATGCCTCGCAAGTGCGGGCCCATCGCGATTCTGCCCGCGATGGCTAAGTTGTTCAGCGCGGTGTTGTATGACAGGATTGCGACGCGCACTGGCGCGCGTCTGGGCGGAGAACAGTTCGGCTTCAGACCTGGGAGAGGGCGTGCGGGCGCCATGCATGTTCCGAGGGCAATTGCGGAGAAGTCTTCAGAATTGGGGGGGAATTGCGGGTTGAACCTCTGGACGTTGAGAAGGCTTTTGACAGAGTACACCGCTCGTCGTTGTCTGAAGCGCTTGCGCGCGACAACATCGACTCGCAAGTGGCTGGGGCACTCCGGCGATTGTATTTTGACGTCAAGGGTTTCGTTTCTTTGTGGGCAGGCGCCGATGGCAGTGAATTCGACGTTCAAAGAGGAGTGAAGCAGGGGGGCCCTTTATCGCCAGTGCTTTTCAACGTGATATCAGACGGAGCTCTAAAACAGGCCAGCGCAGCGCGGATATGATTTGCGCGGGGAGAGGCTGACTCGCGATGCTTTCGCCGACGATCAAACTCAGATCGCGCGCTCGTCGGCATCGATGAGGCGGATGCTGTCGTCGTTGCGGGGTGCGTCGCGCAGCAGAGGGCGTGCGTTGCCCCCCCGCGAAATGTCATGCGCAGGCGGACAATGAAGGTTTCCACCGAGGGCAGGTTCAGATCGCGGAAGGATTCTCCATCGAAACGTTGCCACGCGGAGAGTGTCTGGATCTTGTGGGAACGAAATTATCTTTGTTTGATGTGGCGGGGAGAGAGATTCCTCACCGCGTTGCCTTGTGGGTGGTCGAAGTTTTGGGAGATGGGGGGTCGCTGGCCAGGAACAGTTTGCCCTTGAACAATTGTTTACAGCTGTCCAACTGTTCCGCGAGGAGGAGAGGACTGGATCGAATGGGCGCAGCGGGCGGCCCAGCGAGCGAGACAGCTTGCCAACGTTGAGGGCGCGAAGGATTGGGCGCGGCAGCATTTTGATATGAAGTGGAGATGGGCGGGGCGCGTCGCTCGAATGCCCCCGCATGGATGGGCTTCCGCTGTGACGAAGTGGAGAGATCTTGCTTGGCAGACAGCAGTTGGCGGGAGATGGCTGCACCCTGAACGACCAACTCGACGAATAGTGATGGCATTTGAATGCGTGTTGCGAAAAAGTTTTGGAGCGATGTGGGGCGCGGAGAATGGTTGGAGAGGGCGCAGGACAGACAGGCATGGCGAGAGTTGTCGGATGTTCTTGTTGAATGGTGCACCGCGTCATAAGTTTGCTTCCTTTGGTATCGAAGAGACTTTGTTGCTTGTGTCGTGGCGCCTTGTTTCTCACGTCGTGCTCGCACGTGTTAGATGAGAACCGGCGCGCTGCAAATCATTTCACCGTTTCACCGTCCCGCCCCGCGTGTGCCTTTTCAGCTTGGACTTCTCGTTCCCTTTCCCGTTCCTCCTCCTCCTCCTCCTCCTCCGTTGGTTTGCGCTGGAGGTGATGAGCGGCGTGGAAACCAAGAACCCGGGGCACTTTACCAGGGGGATCCGGGAGAAGACCACCGACACGCGCGGCTTCGACACCGACAGGCGGGGCGCTGCCGAGGAGGAGGAGGAAGAGGAGGAGGAAGAGGAGGAGGAGGAAAAGGAGGAAAAGGAGGAGGAAGAGTAGGACGACGAGGACGATGAGGAGGAGGAGGAGGAGGACGAGGACGAGGACGGAGAGGACGAGGGGGAGGAGGACGATGAGGAAGAGGAATTCTGCCCGTGAGAGTTGACGGGGGGAGAGGAAGAGACACGCATAGTCAAACAGCGAGGGAGGCTTGGGGGGCTCCGTGGCCATCTCGAGCCGCCTTTGGGCGGTCTTGGGGCCGCTTGGAACATCTTGAGGGACATCTTGAGCCAGCTTGGGCTACTTGAGCCATCTTGGAAGTCATTTTGGGCTCTCTGAGGCTGCTCGGGTGCCTCTTGGGTGCCTCTCGGGTGCCTCTTGGAACCGTCTTGGGGCGTCTTGGGGCGCTCTTGGGGCCCTCTTGGGGGCCTCTTGGGAGCCCTGGAGGGCCTCTTGGGCCCATCTTGGAGGCGGTCGGTAAAAAAAACGGGGGTACTCGATCCCCCATCACCCCCTCGGAGGGGTGTCAAACATTGGCCCTCCAAGGGGCCGAAAAAGGAACCTCCGACACCTCGCGCCCCCTCCCCAAAAAACCTCGGGAAGAGGGGTTGTGGAAGAGGACAGAGACCCTCCTAAGGCTACCTGTCGCCCAAAGGGCTGGTGGGATTGGAGACAAAGGTCCGTTGTCCGAAGTTGGAAGAATGAGGAGGAGGAGGAGGAGGAGGAGGAGGAGGAGGGAGGAGGAGGAGGAGGAGAGAGAGGAGGAGGAGGAGGAGGAGGAGGAGGAGGAGGAGGAGGAGGAGGAGGGAGGAGGAGGAGGAGGAGAGGAGGAGGAGGAGGGGGAGGAGGAGGAGGAGGAGGAGGAGGAGGGAGGAGGCGGAGGAGGAGGAGGAGGAGGGGAAGGCGCGGCCGCGTGAGTGCGCGTCCCTGGCTGCGGCGCCAGCCCGGCCTTCCCTTTCAAAAGGGGGGGCTTCGGAAGCTACCCCCCCTCCTTTTCGTAGCTGATCTTGGTTCGCCTCGGGGTAAGGGATTCAAAGCTCTTTTTTTTCTTAGCCACCCTGTGGTGTTGGGTCGTCGTTCTGAAGAGACGGTGCCCCCCGTCCTCCTCCTCCTCCTACTCCTCTTACTCCTCTTCCTCCTCTTCCTCCTCCTCCTGCTGCTCCTCCTCCTCCTCCTCCTCCTCCTCCCTCCTCTCCTCTTCTCCTCCCCCCGCCGCGGCTCTTTGCCGCCGAGCACTTTGAATCGGTGCCGGCGCGTACCACCAACGTTCAGGGTCGGCCCCTTCAGGACGGCCTTTGCACCGGGCAACAGCTATCCTTAAGGGTGGTGGGGCGCGCCGGCCAGGGCCTATACCTGGCGCTGCCTGGGAGCACGACGCCGAGCGAGACGATGGTGTAGTCGTACGCCTGGGGCCTCTCCAACTCCTCCTCCCCCTCCTCCCTTCTCCCGTCGCCCCTGATTTTGGCACGCTCCTCATACGTTTCGTGGCTCCACAGGGAGTTCCATCCAAGGCCCCAGTGGCTGCGTTCACATGCGGCCTTCTGTCCACTTTGGCGCACCCCTGGCGCGTTTCGTGGCCACATAGGGAGCTCCACCCAAGGCCCCAGTGGCTGCGCTCACATGCCGCCCCCTGTTCACTTTTGCTCACCGCTCGCACGTTTCGTGGCCCCATACGGATTCAACCCAAGGCCCCAGTGGCTGTGTTCACATGTCGCCCCCTGTCCACTTTGGCACACCCCTCACGCGTTTCGTGGCCCCGTAGAGAGCTTCACCCTAGGCCTTAGCGGCTGCGTTCACATGCCGCTTCCTGTCCACTTTGGCCCACCCCTCAAGCGTTTCGTGTCCCCATAGAGAGCTCCACCGAAGGCCCCAGTTGCTGCGTTTACATGCCGCCTCTTGTCCACTTTGGCATACTCCTCACACGCTTCGTGGCCCCATAGGGAGCTCCGCTGCAGGCCCTAGTCGCTGCGTTCGCATGCCCCCCCCTGCACTTTGGCACGCCCCTCACAGGTTCGTGGCCCCATAGGGAGTTCCACCGAAGGCCCCAGTGGCATGGTTCGCATGCGCTTCCCTCAGCCAGCACAGCGTTTCGGGGCCCCATGTGGGGGTCCACCGAATGCCTTAATGGCGGTGTCCGCATGCGTTTCCCCCACCTATTACAGCGTTCTGTGGCTCCATAGGGAGCTCCACCGAAGGCCCTAGTGGAAGCGTCCTCGTGCGTTTCCCATACCCAGTACAACGTTACGTGACCCCGCAACGAGCTCCACCAAAGGCTCCAGCGGCTGGGTCCGCATGCATCTCCCCCACCCAATACAATTTTTCGTGGCCCCATATGGAGGCTCCACTGGAGGCCCCAGTGGCGGTGTCCGCATGCGTTTCCCCCACCCAGTACAACGTTTCGTGGCCCCACTGGGAGCTCCACCGAAGGCCCCGGTGGCGGTGTCCGCATGCGCTTCCCCCATCCAGTACAACGTTGCGTGAGTGGAAGTGTCCGCATGCGTGTCCCACGCCCAATACAGCGTTTCGTGGCCCCACAGCGAGCTTCACCGAAGGCCCCAGCGGCTGCGTCTGCATGCGTTCCCCCACCCAGTACAACATTGCGTGGCCCCATACGGAATGCCCCACCGAAGGCCCCAGTGGCGATGTCCGCATGCTTTTCTCCCACCCCCAGTACAACGTTTCGTGGCCCCATTGGAAGCTCCACCGACGGCCCCAGTGGCGGTGTCGGCATGCGTTTCCCCCACCCAGTACAATTTTTCGTGGCCCCATATGCGGGCTCCACCGAAGGCCCTAGTGGCGGTGCTTGCATGCGTTACCCCCGCCCAGCACAGCGCTTTGTGGCCCCATAGGGTGCCCCACCGACGGCTCCACAGGCTGCTTTCGCATGCGTCTCCTCCGCCCAGGGCATCGTTTCGTGGGCTCATAGGGAGCTCCACCGAAGGTCCAGCGGCGGTGTTCGCATACATCTCCCCCGCCCAGTACGACGCTTCGTGGCCCCGTTAGGAGTTCCACCGAAGGCCCCACTGGCGGTGGTCGCATGCTTCTCGCCCACTCAGTACAGGGCTTCGTAACCCCCTAGGGAACTCCACCGAACGCCCCAATGGCGACGTTCGCATGGTGAGCGTCGCTTTCGAGGAAGAGAAAAAAGGAGGGGGGGGGGCTTCCGGCAGGGGAGGTCCAAAGGGGGGGGGTAGCTGCACACTCCCGCCCTCTGTGGAAAGGGAGGGGGGGAAGCTTCTGGAGCGTCAAAGGGGGGTAGCTTCCGGGGGGGGGAACAAAAATAAGGGGGGGGGCTTCTGGCCGGGGAGGTCCAAAGGGGGGGATAGCTAAGCCACCCACCTCTGTGGAAAAGGGGGGGGGGCTTCCGAGGGGCATGGAAAAAAACAGGGGAGGGGGGGGGGCTTCTGTCAGGGGAGGTCCATGTCGGGGGGGGTAGCTAAGGGGGTGCCCCCCCCCAGTTTGGGGGTGCGCCACGGGTGCGCTGTTTCCTAGGAAACGTCCGGCAACTATGCTGCTGGCCATTCCCGGACAGTAGTGATTAACGTGTATGCCGCCGTCAAGACTGCGGTAATCGAGCGCGATGCCGATTTGTTTGGGGTGTCGAAGGAAGTGGCAGCAGCCATCCTCGAGGACCTCACCATCTTGGTCAAGTTCAAGTGTTTCGAAAAACGACCGCCCAAAGGCGCCCGAAACGTCGCGGTCCCCAGGCGCGTCTTCGAATGGACGCACCGGAAGGGGCCCGACGGCAAGACCGCGAGGGTCATCCGGCGCCGCATGGCGCTCAGAGGCTTCCGCAACATGGACGCCAGAGCCCTGGAGACGTTCGCGGGGACAGCGAAGCGCACGTCGCAGCGCATGCTGTCCTTGGAGGCGGCGCGTCGCCCGGACTGGGTCTACGTCGCCGTGGACGTCGAGATGGCTTTCCTGCAGCGCATGACCTATACCGAGATGCAGAAGCAAGATGAAGCACCGCGCGAGGTGAACCTCACCCTGCCACCCGGCAGTGCAGCCATCCTCAGGCAGGTGCCTGGCTACGAGTCCGGCGACGAGTGGACCGAGTGCTTGCGTTGCATCGAGATGGGTACGGGCTGCAAGGACGCACCCCGAGTTTTTTTAGTGAAGCTCGCCCGGGTCAGGCGTTCACCGAAGTGCAGCGCCAAACCTACCAGGTGGGTCGAGCTCGAGGTCAAACGCGAGACGTCCGGTGCCTCTGGTGCTGGCGACTTGAAGCTAGTGGTCATGGGGTCTCCCGACACGTTGACGATCTGAAGATCGCTGGTAGGAGCGCGTTGACCAGCTCTTCGGCCATGCCGCAAGCGTCTTCGGCAATATCAAAGGCCAAAGGCGACTGCGACGACTTCGCCAACTGCGGATTGTACCGACACCGCAGCTCCGACGGCGCAGTGACGCTCGACCAGGACGAGTGCATCGACGCCTTGATACCGATCAGGCACGTCGACCTGATCTTGGTGAAGGCCGACGAGCCGGCTGGAGGTCCTACCAGACCTCTTCGTGTCTGTGCTGGGTGCAGCAGCGTACGCCCTGCTTGCCCAGCACCAGTCGCCGTGTGTATCGTCGCGCTGCAGAGGGTCAAGAACAAGCTGCTCATGCGCCCTGTGGCGCAGCTCTGCTCAGTTGTCTTGGCCACGCATAAGATCAAAACGCGCATTGCCGTTCCTGCCATGGAGTTCGCTGGCCAGCTCTGCGTGCGCAGCGACGGGTCTTTCGAGAGGGAGGATGAGATTGGGTACGGCATGCGTGGTGCCGTCTACATGCGCTTGTGCAAATGCCGCAACGCCAGCAAGGAGGTTTGCCACTTGCTTGACGCTGCGAGCCGTTCGCACAAACTTGTGTGCAGGTTTTCGTTCGGCTCAGAGCTGCTCGCGGCCTGCGGATCGGCGGGCGGGTTGCAAACCCGCCTCCTGGGGATCCACGAGATGATCCGTTGACCAGTCGCAGCCGAGTAGATCAGGGAACCGAGAGAGGAGGGAGTTTACGCTGTGCCAGCGGCACTTGTCATGAACGGGAGCCCGTCTTCGCGGCATCGGCCGTGGATCCTGTTCGGGCACCGTCCGAGAAGAGCATGGCCGTCCATCTATGGTGGTTATCGGATCAATTCCGCACCGGGCAGATTGAGGGCATGCTTGTGGTGTGATACTCGGGACGGCGCCCGCATTTCCTGGACTATGTTCGCGAATGCGACGTCCCGTTGGGCCGGTTCGGTTGGGCCTTTCTGTGCCTGCGCATTGGGTGGGCGTTTATGTGGAAGCGCATTGGGTGGACATTTTTTTGCATAGGCTGTGGGCGCACACATTTGCGCAAACGTGTCCGCGCCAACGTGCCGCCCGCCATCGGGCAATTTAGACTACGGGCGACTTTGGCTTAGACTTGCCACGACTATGTTGTCATCGTAGTCTACGGTATGCAGGTGAGAGGGCTGCTTCCGAGAACTATGTTCCCAGGGCAGTGGGCGAGTGAACAGTTGAGCACGCATGTGGCTGAGGGATGCGCCCTGTAAGCCTGTTCTGGCAACCTTTTACTGCAGCCAGTTTCTTTGTTCTTGTTGGTGGTCGGGGTGGTTTGCGCCCTGATTGCCGACGAGGCACGAACAGACTCGCTTGAGCACCACGCTCGAACGGTAGCAATGCTCCCCCTCTGCCCTTCAGTTGTCTCCCCTCGCCGCTGCTGTTGTGGTTTAGCCTACCGTGCCCGTGTGAAGCGCGGGGTCTCCCGCTGCAGACCTGCTCACGTCAGAGCAAAACATCCGTTCTCATCACACGTATCATTTTTTGGTGCTGGGCTGCCGCGGAAACGCCACGTGGACAGGGCCTCTTGAAGAATTCACGGTGCAATGCGCAGCGCGTTGTCCGCGAGCGGTGGCCCATCCCGCGGTTTCATTTTGGAAGTGGCCAGGGGTTTGCGTTGGGTGGGCCCCGAGGAACTCGGCCCGGAGGAGGGGGGGACTAGGGCAAATCCGCTCAGCATTGGCCCCGGGACCTCTCTCGGGGTCGGAGCAGACAAGTTTTTCGAGCTGCGTCCAGCCATGGCGACGAATGGGCCCCTTCCTCCTCCCCTTCAGTTGGCTGGAGCCATTGCCTGGGCCACCTCAGCCCCTCGGCCGGCTCCAAGGTTCATCTTCAAGGACGACGAGCTCAGCTACTGCCTCGGCAAGCAGGGCACCACGCGCAAGAAGCTCGAACGAGCATCCGGTGCCATTGCTGCCCATGCGATGCCGCCGCGGCTGCCACTGGCCGGCGCTGCTGCCGCTCGCGGTGAGAGCAGCAGGCGATCTCAAGCAGGAGGAACTTGGGGTGTGAAGGCGAGGACAGAGGATGTGACGATGAGGAAGAGAAGGAGGAGGAGGACGAGGAGGAGGAAGAGGAGGAGAAGGAGGAGGAGGAGGAGGAGGAGGAGGAAAACGAGGAGGAGGAGGAGGAGGAGGAGAGGAGGAGGACGACGAGGAGGAGGAGGAGGAGGAGGAGGAGGAGGGGTGAGGAGGAGGAGGAGGAGGAGGAGTGAGGAGGAGGAGGAGGAGGGGAGGAGGTGGAGGAGCAGGGAGGAGGAGGAGGAGGAGGAGGAGGAGGAGGAGGAGGAGGAGGAGGAGGAGGAGGAAGATAGGGAAAAGGAGGAGGAGGATGAGGAGGAGGAGGAGGACGGAGTTCGGTGGACGGAGGATGGAGTACGGATGATGGAGCATGGAGGAGGAGCAGGAGAGAAAATTGAGGGGTAGGACACTGAGGGTGATGATGATCATATTGATGGGAATGAGGATGACGATGATAATTGCGATGTCGATGCTGCTGCGGCTACTTATGCTGCTGCTGATGATGCTGATGATGATGATGTTGTTGTTGATAATGATGATTCCCTACCAAGGCTCTTCCTAGAAGGGTTCTTACTCTCTGGGCTTAAAGGGGCCGGGTAGTGGAAAGCGCCCCGGGCGGTTCCCCCAGTACCCGCCCCGCGGTTCCCCCAGTTGCGCCCCCTTAACTTAGCTTAGCTTTGCTAATCTCATCTTAGCTTAGCCTAGCTTAGCCTAGCTTAGCTTAGCTTAGCTTAGCTTAGCCTAGCCTAGCCTAGCTTAGCTTAGCTTAGCTTAGCTTAGCTTAGCCTAGCCTAGCTTAGCTTAGCTTAGCTCAGCTCAGCTCAGCTTAGCTTAGCGCAGCGCAGCGCAGCATTAGCATTAGCATTAGCATTAGCATTATCATTATCATTAGCATTAGCATTATAATAGCATCGCATAGCATTTTATAGCATCGCACAGCATATCATAGCGCAGCATAGCATCGTACAGCATGGCACAACATAGCATAGCGCAGCATAGCATAGCACAGCATAGCATAACATAGCTTAGCTTAGTATAGTTCAGCGCAGCATAACATAGCATAGCATAGCGTAGCATAGCGCAGCACAGCATATCATAGCATAGCATAGCATAGCATAGCGCAGCATATCATAGCATTGCATAGCATAGCGAAGCATATCATAGCATAGCATATCATAGCATAGCATAGCATAGCATGGCATAGCATAGCGCAGCATAGCATATCATAGCATAGCATAGCACAGCATAGCGCAGCATAGCATAGCATAGCATAGAGATATATGTAGATGTAGATGTAGATGTGAGTCTCGCTGTTGATGTTGATGTATATGTAGATGCAGGTGTAGACGTTAATGTAGCTGCCGGTGTAGATGTAGATGTTGTTTTCCTAGATGCTCCAACTCCTAGGCAGGGTCGCACTGGGATAATGATGATGATGATGACGATGATGATGATGATGATGATGATGATGATGATGATGATGATGATGATGCTGATGCTGATGCTGATGCTGATGCTGTTGATGATGATGATGCTGATGATGGTGATGGTGGTGAAATCCACGGTGGTGGTGGTGGTGGTGGAGGTGATGCTACTGTTGTTGATGACGATAGTGACGAACATGCATAAGATGATTATCATCATTATGATGATTCCCTACCTGGGCTCTGCCTAGAAGGGTTCTTACTCTCTGGGCTTAAAGGGGCTGGGCAGTGGAAAGCGCCCCGGGCGGTTCCCCCAGTATTTGCCCCTCGGTTCCCCCAGTTACGTCCCCTTAGCTTAGCGTTGCTTATCTCATCTTAGCTTAGCTTATTTCATCTTAGCTTAGCTTAGCTTCATCTTAGCTCAGGTTTATCTTAGCTTAGCTTACCTCCATCTTAGCTTCGCTGAGCTTTAGCATAGCAGAGCACAGCATAGCATAGCATAGCGTAACATAGCATAGCGCAGCACATCATAGCGCAGCACAGCATATCATAGCATAGCCCAGCATAGCAGAGCATAGCGCAGCATAGCATAGCATAGCATAGCGCAGCACAGCACAGCACAGCATAGCACCGTGCAGCATAGCATAGCATAGCATAGCAGAGCAGAGCATAGCATAGCACAGCAGCAACGCAAAGGCAAAGCAATAGCAGCGACAGCAAAGCAAAGCACAAGCAACGCAAAGCAAAGCAAAGCAACAGCAAAA